AAGATTTTTTTCTTCAGGCAGCAAAATATCCTCAGGATTTATCAAAGTCATTGTGTATCAACAGTTCATTTCTTTTCATAGCTGCATATTATCTTATCCATAACGTCTATTATTATTCCAGTGTGTATGCAGCATAATTTATTGAGCTAATCACCTGTTGAAGGATATTTGGGTTGCCTCCAATTCTTGTCTGTTATGAACGAATCTGTCAGATACTGCTGAACTGGAACTACAAACACTGGTGACCAGGTATTTGTGTGACTACTGCTTTTCATTTCTCATGCATAAATACCCACGAATACAATTGCTGAGTTATCTAGAAAGTACAGACTTAGTTTTTAAAATGCAAACCTATTTTCCAGAGTGACTGGACCATTGTACATTTCCACCAACATATGAATAAACCAATTTTTTTCCAATCCTAGGATTTGGCTTATAGCTATTCTAAATTTTAGCCACTTTGGAAGATATACAGTGATACTTCACTGTGGTTTTAATGTGCATGTCTCTTAATGGTTTTGGGGGCTGAACCTCTTTTATGGGGTTGCCATATATCTATCTGCTTGGGTAAAATATCTCTTTGAGATGGTTTACCCATTGGCTTCTTCACTTCCTTCTTTCCATCTCGTTCTCCCTCCTTCCTTCCCTTCTCTCTTTCATCTCTCTCCCTCCCCATCCTCATTTTTGTGCCACTACACATCAAACTCAGGGCCTGGCACATGCTTGGTAAATGCTCTGTCACTGAGTCACGTCCCCAAATCTTGTTTGAGTATTTTATATTTGAACTGTTTTATTTCTTTGTGGTTGAGTTCCCAGAATTTTAATATTCTAGATACAATTGCTTTGTCAGACACATGATTTGCAAATATTTTTCTCTGTATACAGCTTGTTTCTTCACCTTCTTAACAGGATTTCACAAGCAAAATCTTTCAGTTGTGGTCCTATTAATATATCAGTTTTTCCTTTTATGGATTTTATTTTTGGTGTCAAGCCTAAAAACCTTTTCCTGACCCTTGGAAACAAAGATCTTGGTTTTTTTTTCTAACAGTTTTATAGATTTATGTTTTACATTTAAATCTGTGACTCATATTGAGTTACCTTTTGTATAAAATGTGAGGTTCAGGTTGTTCGAGTGCTCTAGTGCAACTCATCAAAAGCCCTTCCTTTCTCCATGGAATTGCCTTTGTATCCCTGTTAAAAATCAGCTGAAGGGGCTGGGATTGTGGCTCAAGAGGGAAGAGTTCTCATCTAGCATGTGTGAGGTACTGGGTTCGATCCTCAGCACCACATAAAAATAAAATAAAAATATTGTGTCCACCTATAATTAAAAAATAAATATTAAAAAAATCAGCTGGGACATCTTTATATGCTTCTGTTATTGTACCCCAACAGTAAGTCTTAACATGGGGTACAATGATCTTCACATTTAATTCCTCCTTTCCAAAAGAATTAGCGTTATTCCAGAATGTTTGTCTATTACACTTGTTCTATATCTACAAAAATATCTTGTGTTTTTTTGAAAGCTTTTTTTTTACTATGGTAAGATATTTTTAACATAAAATTTACCATTTTAACATTTTTTTTTGAGATAGATGATAGACCCAACCTGATTTTCTCTTAAAATTGGGAGCCATCTCTCCACAAAGCCATGAAAAGGTAATTTTGGTTTTACTATAAATTACTGCAAATTCTGAACCTGCTTGGAATGTCTTCCCATGCCTTGAACTCACCCATGCCTGGCTCTCCGACCAGATAGCAGCCCTCTCTGAAACTTTAGTGACACCTCATAAATCTTGGCTTTCCCTGGCCAGATAACGACCCTCTCTGAGTCTCTAATAACCTTCATAAATTCTGATGTCAGGGGCCAGCAAAAATGTAAACTAGCCTTTGTGTTATGCTCCTCAGAATTTTGTTATCTGTAACCCTCCTTTGTTTAACTTTCTGGGCTATAAAGCTGGGCTGCAAGAAAGTTGCAGTGCTTTCTTTTGCTCTCGCGGTTTTTGTTGGGAGAGGCAGCCTGGCTGGTCGGCTGAAACAATAAGCTTGCTTTAATTTGACTTTAATTGGAGTCAGTGGTCTTTTCTTTTCGTCCTGATCTAAAAATGGGATCATACTATGTACCCAGAATAGCCTTGAACTCTTAGACTCAAGCTATAATCCTGACTCAACTTCCTGATTAGCTGGGATTAAGGGTGCATGGCTCCCTTTTAACCATTTTTAAGTGTATGATTCAGTGGCAATAAGAACAGTCACAATTATGTACAACAAACACTCTTATCTACTTCCAAAGCTTTTTTTATCACCCCAGATAAAAATTCCATAATAACCCTAAAGCAGTAACTCCCCCTTTTCTGTATTTCCCAAGCCACTGGTAACCTCTAAGCTCCTTCCTTTCTATAAGAATTTGTGTATTCTAGATACTTCCTGTAAGGGGAAACATAATATTTTGTCCCCAATGACTGGCTTATTTCACTTAGCATAATGCTTTCCAGGTTCACCCTTGTTATAGCAAGTGTCAGTTTCCTTTCCTTTTCTTTTTTCTTTTTTCTTTTTTTTTTGGTTCCTGGTGTTAAGGGCATTGTGCATGGTAATCATTTGCTCTACTACTGAGCCACACTCTCAGCCCCTTCATTCCTCTTTCAGGCTAAATAATATTAAATTGAACATATGTGCCACATTTTTGTTTATCCATTCATCTGTTGAAGGACACTTGGGTGGTTTACTGCTTTTGGCTATTGGGAATAATGCTGTTATTAACTTGTATACAAAAAAAGCATTATACAGGCACAGATGTTGCCAAGATTGCATAAGAGAATAGTGTGAACACCATAAAAAAATTGATATCTAGAAAAAATTACCAAAGTGATTCAAATGAAAGAGAACATCTAAAACAGCCTGTAGAAGTTGATACAGAACAAAATAACTCCACAAATAAAACACTAGAATCAAATGACCTTATAGGGGGTGGGTATTCATGTAATCCTAATCTGATTTCTCTTCCAGAGATGAGAAAGAACACTCCTCAAGTTATAATTATTAAAAGTTAGTTTTATTTGAACTTGATATCAGAACAATGACATGAACATAAAACCAAAATTATCAGATATTCTCACTCATGAAATTGATGCAAAATTCTAACCAAGATATTAGCAAACTGAACCCAGCTATGTGTAAAGTAAGGAAATTGTACATCATGCCCACATTGGGCTTATGTCAGGAATGTAAATTATTTCCAGGCCCTAGCTCCTGCGACAGGGTGACCCTTGGGTCATGTGCACAATGAACCCAAGACTTGGAGAGGCCCTACAATTTGTACAGGAGTCACAGGGTGACTGGCTGTTCACTGAGAAAGAAAGAGCGACAGGTTGCAGCTAAGAGCATGAGAGCAATCAAGTGTCCAGTGCAGGGAACTTGTAAATATCCCAGTTGAGATGTCTAGTAGCACCCAAGTATCCTGCTGTGCAGTCCACCTATAGCTGGGCTGCAGATGGCACTGAGAATCCCCAGCACAGACATGGCACAAGTCCTAAAGTGGGAGAGAATTACCCAGGGAAGCTGGGTGCAGCAAAGAGAGAAGAGGACCAGTGTTTAAAGAAGAGGACTCCCTAAAGCGGCTGGCCCAAGAAAAAGGGAAAGAAAGGAACAGGGAGGCAAGAAGGAAAGTGACTCAAGTCAGACAATGAAAAAGAAAAGGAGCCTAAAGAATTCAGTCACTCGGATGTCGTGTGACAGGGAAGAAGCCAGACTGCTGGGGGATGACAAATGAATAGAGATGAGAAACAGAAATAGGGATTGCGGCCCTTGCTTACAAAAAGACTGGCTGAGGAGAGAAGCAGAGAGTGTGCAGGAGCCAAGGGAGAAGCAGATCAGAGATGGGCACATGTGCAGACCACCGGACAGGAGGGTGGTGAGCAACAGAGAGGTGAGCAAAACCAAACAGCGTTCCTGTTCTCCACATGCCAGAAAGAAAAAGATGAACTGTCCTTCAGTCACAGCCCTAAGGCATGAAGATACAACCACCACAAGTAGCTCCAAACCCATCCCAGGCAACTGCACCACCTGCTTCCAACACTGATAAAGCCCCAGCCCCTGTCCAGCAACCACGTTTCCAGGGCTAAAGGCAAACTGTTCCTTCCAAGTCAACCCATCCCTGACCTCCACATTGACCCCAAAATGAAGGAGGCGAGAGCAGGGAGTACTGAGGCCAGGGCTTGGGGAACATGATCATGGAAAGCTCAAATGGGGCCATGAGTGTTGGACAGGAGGGAGGGCCATCGTCCTCTGAGAGCAGGTGGATGAGGCCACACAAACATGTAGTACCCTTTGGGTCACGTGCACAAAGAACCTGAGACTTGGAGAAGCCCTACAATCTGCACAGGAGCCACCAATCAAATCCACATCCGTCCCACTGCAAGGCCTGTGCTCTCACACCCCACCACCCCCTGCCTTCTCCTACAACTAGCTCTCTTGCTTTAAATCCTGATTGCATTTTGGAAACTTTCCAACATTACTTCCCCCATTCTGGCTCTTGCTGGTTAGAGGTGTGTCTGCTTCCTTTACACTCACATCATTCATTCCAGAACTGAAGTTCTTTGGCCCTGCAGGCTCTTACAAGGCAATTGATTAATGAAGAAATGAATACATAGGGCTGGGGATATAGCTCAGTTGGTAGAGCGCTTGCCTTGCAGCCTTGCATGCACACCACCCTGGGTTCAATCCCAACACCACCAAAAAAAAAAAAAAAAAAAAAGAAAGAAAGAAAAGAAATGAATACATGTATAATCATCAAATGTGCTATGTGCCAACTTGTTTCCAAAAGGGTCTTTAAATGTCTCTCACAAGGGATACATGATGTCCCCAACACTCCTTTGCCATAGTTCTTACAAATGCAAAGCAATGCTGACCATTTCATTTACCCCACATTCCACATTACTGAATCTAGTCTCCACTGAAGAGGTTTCACCGTCTTTGCATGCCTGAGACCAAAAAGCATACCTTACCTGAATTTTGACGGGCCAGGTGAAATTACTGACATACACAAAGAAAGTGACATTTGGATGGTTTTGAAAATCAAACTTTTCATTAGAGAAGCTGTCTTTGTACTCCTTAATGTTGTTTTTTGAAACAATAGGCATCTGTTCCTCAGGCTGGGCTCCATCTGTCAGGGAGAAATGAAATAAAATAATGGATTTGCAGGAGGCAGAACTTGCCTTGTTAATAAGAATGAACAGCATTATTAAATACTTACAATTTCTATGAATAGCCTTTAGGAGTTCAGTCTCCCTAAATCTCATAACCCCATTATCCTTATTTACAGACTAAGAAACTAAGGTTCCAAGAAATTAAGTAACTTGCCTCAGGCTGCAAAGAATGCAGCTGGATTTGATTCTGGGGAGGATGAATCACAAGCTTGTGCCTCAAATCAGAAGGGTTTTATCAGGAACCTCTGTGACTCCCCACCACCACCCCTGAAACTGGGAACACATGGTCAGGAAATTACAGACACTAGCGGAGTCCTGTTAACACATGCTATCACTCACTCTTCAACAATGCCTCAGTTCCTTTGCATTTCCCCCTAACATCTATGTGGTGATACTCCAGACCCAGGTACCAGAAACACCGGTTTGCCTCTCACTTCCCAGCCAGGAGTGGTCTCAAATCTCCACAGAGAATTAGGTGCTTAAGTTGCCACTCAGTCCTGCCTTCTGCTACCAGTTAGCAGTGTAGCTAAGTTGCCATCCTGGTGTAACTCATTTGTTCCCAGATGGTTTTTCCACATTCCAGATTCTCCCTCAGCCAGGAACTCAAATGTGAATAAGTAAAGACTCACAAAATGCACTCTTTTTCATGTTGAGTTAAACTGTGGGACTACAGCCCCGCCTGTCATGTTTTCATTGAGATGGTCACTGAAAATCTTTTAAGCCCTAATAAACCCCAAAATGACAGCAAAGATTATATTCCTATATTATACCAGTCTGATTAGTTTTTGTGTTGTCAAAAACAAGAGTATTGTAACAGCAGTGATGTTGATGAAACTGAGCTACCATTCTGTGACAATTGCCCATATTCAAGCATTACATTGAGTACTTCATTTATCATTTTATGTAATCCTTACAATACTCTAATGTCAAGGTGTTTTTACTGTCCCATTTCCTACACAAGGAAACTGGCTCGAAAGCCTAGGTAACTTGTTCAACAGCACAGTGCAAGTAAATAACAGGCAGAATAGAAACGCAGCTCTATTTGTCAAGTTATCATGTTATGCAGTGGTAATGTGTCCTAACCACTACATCAGGGTCATCAAATCTTTAGTAAATCATAGTTAAGGCAAACCAGATAGCAAAAGCTATGCTTTCAGAGCTTGGTTTAATTCCCAATGTATGGTTCTCTGTACCTATTAAAATCTCATTTTATTTAAACATTTCCATTTCTTGAAACTGAATCACTGATATTTTTCCCCTCTGAGGCAAGGATCTGGATGTTGAGGACAGTGGCAGAGCAGGGGCCACAGCAAGGGTGTGAGTGGTGGTGGTGGGGGAGGTGGGGCAGGGAGGAAGGGGAAGCCACCTACTGAGCCTGAGCCATGGTAGGTGATAGCAGCTCTCACTTCATATAATCTACATTGTTCTAGGAAGTAATGTCGCTATGATCACTTTACTGATGAACAATCCAGAGAGGGATTTGGACACTTGCTCAAGGTCTCATGGATAATATATGCCAAAACTGGGTTTAAAAAAAAAATCCATCTGTTGGTCTCCAGAGCCTCTTTTCCCAATTCCTATATTACAGTTCTCTACCCAGAGCCTCCACTCACAGTGTGTTTGCTAGGTGTGTGTTTACCTGAGAAGCTGGCAGCCCAGGTGATATTGAGATTGAAGTTTTTGGAGGCATTGATGAACATGTCCAGATCCCTGTTTTGCTGATGAGAGGCACAAATAAGTAGAAAATTAATTATAATGATAATTCGATTTTACTGCTCTTGATATATATTATAACAAAAAACTTTGCAATGTTTCAAGGCAAACTTGTGTTTATAGAGGAGTTAGCAACATTTCTAACCAGTTTTCCTTAATATAAGCAATGTAACCCAGATAAAATATTATTTTCTTCCCAGCAATATACATAGGATTCAATGCTTTAGCAGATGCCCAACTGCACGGGAAAAGTACCTTTTAAAAAGGCCCTGTTGAGCACAATGATTTATATCTTCTGACTTGTGGCAGAGGAACCAGAATCCCCAGGATCCTCAGGGCAGATGTTTCCAAACACTCAGTATTTACACTTGCTGGGAAAATATCTGACCCAGAGTTCCAATTTCTATATATTTCCAACTTCTATATATTTTTATCTTGTCCTTCTGAGTATACCATAGGTTATAATATGGTATAAATTTCCTCCCAAACCAGAAGTGCTTTTTTTAAAAGCATATATAGTACATGATGGTGCGCATCTGTAATCCCAGCAATTTGGAAGGCTGAGGAAGGAGGATGGCAAGTTCAAGGTCAACCTAAACAACTTGGTGAGAGCCTAAAATAAAATTTAAAAAGGCTGTGGGTATAGCTCAAAGTTAGAGCACCTCTAGTTCAATCCCCAGTACCACACACACACACTCACACACATACACACACACACACACACACACACAAATATATATATATATATATATATATAAAGCTAAGTATACTAAGTATACTAAATTTAAAAAGCAAGATATTGGATGTAGCTCAGTGGTAGCACATTTGCCTAGCATATGTGAGGTCATGGTTCAATCCTGAGTAACACACACACACACACACACACACACACACACAGGTATTAACTTTTGAGAATGTTTTATCACCCAAATGGAATATTAAAAACAAATCTTTCATTTTTTTTATAAATATGGTACGCCATGGACTTCATTCTTTACTTTTTAAAAATACATTAATGTTTATTGATAACAAAGTAATACACACTTCTTCATTGCCATCTTGCTTCCCATGTATAATTTGTTGCTTGTGATAGGAATCTATTGATGGTAAATAGCTTTGTGTTTGTTGATGAGAAGAAACCCCAAGGAGTTTACTAAATGACTTACCATTATGTTGAGGAAAATTTCCTTATACTTCATTAAGGACATTGGACTAGGGGTTTAGCTCAGTGGTAGAGCTCAAGCTTAGTAGGAAGAAGACCCTGGGTTCAATCCCCAGCATCAAGAAAAAAGAAAGAAAAGAAATTGAACAGTGTATCTTCATGTTTGGAATGTTCTACTTTTAAATACCATGCTGTGTTGGCTCCTGTCTACCAGGATATAATGCCTTTAGACAGAATGGGTTTTATAATTATTGACAATAGACATAAATGCATATTTTAAATAGTCATCTTAACCATTTTAAAATGTTTCTGGTCAATGTCTTTTTGGACCAACTAAACTTTTTCTGTTTTACCTACCAATGAGGCTTCGGATCCTTCCAGCAGCAGGTCACCAAATACCTCCTGTGCTGCCCCCTTATGCTTGCATCATGACATTTTAATTTCAATCAGGTTTTTGTTTGTTTGTGGTACTGGGGATGGAACTCAATAGTGTTCTGCCTTTGAGCTACATCCACAGCCCTTCCTTTGATTTTATTTATTTTTTTTTGAGACAGGGTCTTGCTAAGTCACTAAGGCTGGCCTTGAGCTTGTGATCCTCCTGCCTCAGCCTCCCATGTAGTTGGGATTACAGGGGTGTACCACTATTCTCACACAGCAATTTCTTTATGGGTGATTTTGAAACCACTGGTCCCTTCACCAGCTCCCCTTGAATGATGGAACTCCCCTTTCAGTCTCTGAATGGAGCTGTGGTGGGCTGGCAGGAATATTATGTATGTGTGGTATCAACGTCAGTCTATGGATCAGGCCCTGGTAAATTCCATAACACCATTCTCACCTTTTGGATGAAAAGGAAATAAAATGTAGACTCTTTATGTTTTTTTCCTGTGCCTCTAAACATCATCCTCTATGCTCCCCTCTGAGACCACTGCTAAGGAAGTACTTCTATTCACAATGACCAAGAGAAGGAGCCACACAATTCAAAACAAAATATGTTTTAAAAATCTTACTTCCTTAGGAATGGCCACAAAATTGATGGCTGTGTAATAGCGATTCTCTTCCTGGGAGAGGGTAAAAGTGAACTGATAGCCAATAAGAAGAGTATCTATGGAAAGAAAGAAACACGCATTTAAAACTGAGACAAAACAAAAATGAACAGGTATCTGGAGATATCCACTGCATTTCTGATAAATTCAATAGCCAGGAAAGGACTTTGACCCACCTCTACCCAGGTTTTTCAAAGGAAACCAAGTCCCTCAACAGTATCATTTTATTTGAGTTACCCACTAAACTTTCTCCTTGTTTTTTCCTTTTGGTAGTGGGGATTGAACCAGTAGAGCATGTTGATTTATACCTTTGGACCTGTGTCAGAGGAGCCAGATTCCCAGGATCCCATGGGCAGCTGTTTGTAAACACTTGGAATTCACATTTACTAGGAAAACATCTGGCTCAGTGCCCCAGTTTCTGATTATCTATAACTATAAATTTCTATTTATTTATAACATAACAATATTTACCAAATTGTATATATTTACCAATATTTATAAATAGAAGAAATAAATAGAAGTAAAAATTGTTATGTCACTTTACAAATGAACGATCTAAGGTCCAGAGCAAAGTTTAGATACTTCCTTAAGGTCTTATAGGTACTAAATATTTTTATTTTTGGAGTTAACATAAATCAGCTCTAGAAAGAATGATGCAACTTCATTTGTATTTTAAGGATTCTGTTTTGATCTATATCCTGAACCTGAACAAAGAAATCACTCTGTATTGGCTCCTGCTATCTGCTATAAAAACACTGACATAAACATGGCCACATTAAAACTGCTTCAAAAGCTGGGCACAGTAGAAGCAAATGGACAGTAAGTTTGAGATCAGCCTCAAAATCTTAGCAAGACCCTGTCTCAAAATAAAAAGTAAAATGGGCTGGGGGTGTAGTTCAGTGGTAAAGTGTCCCTGAGTTCAATCCCAAGTACAAAAAAAAAAAGGGAGCTTCAAATAGTGTTCATAGGCAAAGCCATAAAGTTGGGAGACAATTCCATGGTGCTGGCTATGTTGCTACAGTGCTTACCATTCTCAAACCATATTAAATATTAAAGAACAATGGAATTTTGTCAACTTTCTGCTTCTAGATATGAGAATTACAAAAACACTTACAATAACATGTTCCTTTGAGAGGGTTTCCCTGGTATCGATTTTCTACCTCACATCTAAGAGAAAAAAATAAAATTATCTTCTATTACTATTTAATACAGAATCTACCTTCATTTTAAAATCAAGAAGATCCTTTTATTCAGTCAACATGTAGTTTTTGTTGTTTTCTTTCAATAAAGCTTTTAATGAAAAGATAGTAAAATAATTTCTCATCACTGTACATTTCTGAATGGAGAGATCAGTTGTTGGTGAGTAGCTTTTCTATGACACTGGAGGGCTACATACCTCCAGCTTCAATCTGAATTTATCCAAACCCTAGAGGGAAGTAAACTCAATATGATGAATGACAACAGTGGTGGCCAGTATAGGGGTGCAATCTTGATGTGCCCCCATCTCTGGGAAGGGTATAAACTAGGTAGGATATGATCCCTCTTCTAGTTCCAATTAAACAAAATAGCCTTGACCCCATCCTTTGCCCCTCCTTGAGGTATTTGTGAATGGGTCAAAGCCCAACCTGGGGTCTCTTGGAGAAGAGGGAAAGCAAATGATGGGTGGGGTACAGAGAGGCTCCCCTCAGCACCTGGCCACACAGGTTCCACCAAGTGAAGCCAGAGGCCCTGAGGGCCCTTCCTGCCCCAAGTAAGGTTTATTATTTTAGGTCAATAAATTATTGCAACAAATAGCAAGGAGAGCTAGGAAGGGGTTAAACTGGGGTGACTGAAGCTGGGGGGATCTTAGGTAGGGGGTTCTAGGCAGCCTCAGTTCCCATAGCGCCCACCCATCCCCTGTATGGAATTTCAGACTGCAGCTCAGGTGAAGACCCTCACAATTCCCTCATTCCTGATACCTGATTCACAGGTTCTATAACCAGGTCCCCAGTGTGATCTTGTTCCCTTTAGCAGGGATGGTAGGGCTGAGAATCCCTGTCTTCTACTCTCAGGCCTGGCGTCTTTAGTTTTTGTTCCCTAGTCTGGGAGTGAGACACTTGCAACACTTGTCCCCTGAGCCCTGCCCTCTTGACATCACTCAGGATGGCCATAGGAGGGCAGCCGGTCTGCTTATCTGCAAACCCAGACAGATTGTGCTCCTGCACAGGGTCCTGAGGTCCAGAGAAAACTGACAGAGTGGGGCAGCAGGTGGGGAGCCTGGTTTCCTTCAGTGATAGGAAAAACACCCTGGGCTGTGTGAGGTCAGGAGTCAGTCTGGGGTCTGGATTATTCCTTTCACAGGCTCAGGTGTATGGCTATGCTGCAAGTCTGGAAATTTTATTTGCTTCAAGGGTCATCTTTTCACTTTTCTTCTTGCCTTCTTTGCAATCCTGGGGAAGTCCTAGCTGTGGCTTGGTCCAGTGGGGGCAGACAGTGGCGGAGCCCAGCCTTGCCATTCACCAGCTCACTACAAGTCTGAGAAATTATTGCATTCATCACTGTACAAACACTGATACAAAAACAAAACTGTTAAAAGTGTTTGCAATCTTCTATATTGATAAGGACCAGGCCCTGCCAGCCTCTTGGCTGCCTGGGGTTGAGGATGGGGACCACTGGAGTCAACTGAGCTATGTAAAGATCTTGGATTTTTGGATTTACAAGTAGTTTTGAGTCATGATTATTGTAATCCTCCATTATTCAGGAAATAATCAGAGTCTGCATGAACTTTCACACTGACAGGACTTCACACCACCAATTTAAAAAAAACAAAACAAAACAAAAACAATGGACATTTACCAAGACACAGGAGGTAATTCCAGCTGCAAAAAATCTAGGTCATATTTATTATCATGAAAAACACATTTTCACTTTTATGTGGACTACATATTCTTCAAAGAGTGCAGTTAAAACCTTTTTGAAGTATCCATTGCTCACTTTCCTGCTCTCCCTGGGTAAACTGAGCCTGTTCTTTAAACACAATGGAGAGATAACTATCAAGAATCACTTAAAAAAAAAAACTACCACGCTTAACCATGTGTTTGCCAGTCTGGAGAGAAAAAAAAAAAGTTCTACTTAAAAAGAACTATTCATGGGGCTGGGGATGTGGCTCAAGCGGTAGCGCGCTCGCCTGGCATGCGTGTGGCCCGGGTTCAATACTCAGCACCACATACCAACAAAGATGTTGTGTCCGCCAAAAACTAAAAAATAAATATTAATATCTCTCTGTCTCTTCCTCTTAAAAAGAAAAAAAAAAAGAACTATTCATTTCCCCACAGATGTCATTTACAAAACCCATCTCCCTCTCCACAAAGCCAACTTAGCAAGCAAAGGGCTATGAAGTTCACAGGAAGGAGGGAGAGCTGCGGGAAACACTTTTCCCAGTTCAAATGAGCCAGGGACGCTGCCCTTTCATCCAGGGAGATGACAGGCATTTGTCTCTATCTACAACTTCTAGAAGACACTTGAAAGTCCTCCACTGCATGCCACATCATGTCTTTGCTGTTTCCCCCAATAGAGGGCAACAGTGACTAATTTTGCTCTCAATTTTTCTGTGAAAAGGAACCTAGATCTGAAATTTAAATTTGATTTTTGATTAGACATTTCTTAATATATTGGCTTTGGGGAAGCATGAAATTGACAACCAGTACATTTGTATAAACTATAATATGATCTATAAAGTGTACATAGACCAATTCCCTGCTGAATAATATCCATGTTACTGGTGACATTCTTTAAGGACAATGAAGTTTGCCAATGATGATGTATCTGCATATAAGCTCAAGGTTTTCACACTAAACACATCTCTCTTAAGTCTCTTCCTGAGAGAGTGGATAAGCCTGGCTACGTGTTTCATGAGGTTTTCTACTATAGCAGATAGGAATATGTTAATTGGAGGCAATCTCTCTTGTTGCAACTCTCCAGGATACTAAAAACAATTACTGCTACTCCCCCTATTGGGAGATGGGGAAACTGTGATCTGCCTCAAAGGATCCTGCTCAATGGAAGCACAGCCAGGTCTGAAACCCAATGCTGCCTGATGTTAAGTCCGCATCCTTATGGACAGAGATTTGAAGCCCTCTCCTTGTAGATGATAAACACACTTCAGCAAAGGAAGTGCAGAGCAAGAAGAACATATGCAAGGCAAGAGAATCATCTTCACTATCAGACACACAGAATGCCAAAGAAACACCAGCACTGGTTCAACACCAGCTCCTCCAACTCCATCCCTCAGAAAAAGTGCAAATTCTGATGGGACAAAAATCGAGTAGTTGCTAAGTTAAAATGATTAATCCAAATTAACAATCCAGGAAATGTCAGTATCAATCACATATAACAAATATCTAAAGACCCCTCAAGTTGAGGGTTGATCTGTCAGAGGTAGAAAGGGCAAAATTTTAAACTAATCACCACAGGAATTCTCAGGGTCCATAGCAACAAGGCAGAGAGAAGGGGCAGCTCGCAGGACAGGGTTCATGCAGCCCTCATTGGTGGTACAGAGCATGTGGTACTCACAGCTGGCACTGGTCCCCTTTGATGCCCTTGGTGGCACAGAAGCACCTGCCCGTGTTGGTATCACACAGCGAGGCGTGCCCATTGCACTTGCATGCTGGGAAAAGGAAAAGGAACACAGGACACATCTGGCTTACAAAATCAGGATGTAGCTCAGGAGTGCAGTGCTTGCCTTGTATGTGCAAGGCCCTGGATTGGACCCCAGCACCTGCCAAAAACTGGAGTGATTACTATTGGAGACTTTCCTCAAAACCAATGCTTTTTTTAAAATTGAGCCGAATTGGATTTGGAAGGAAAGACAGCCTAAAACAAGAGCAAGGCTTCCATCTGCCAGGAATGAGGAAACAGGAACTATTGAACTCTTGAAATTACACTAGAAGGGCTGAGCGCAGTTCACCATTAAAAACTTATGTGTGGTTTTTCAGGCCCAGCCACAGGCCACAGCAAGGGCTTGACCTGGTGGCCTCAAGGGACAGCCGCCCTCCCCTCAGCAGACTCAGCGCACAGCCAAGTATTTCAGTCTCTGCAGGAGGTGCAGTCAAGGACTTGGGCCTCCAGCCAGGCACTCCTCACGTGCACCTTCATTCCCACAGGTCTTCCTCCAAAGCCTCCAGCACAGGTTGGCTTCATGGCCTCTGCTGAGGCCTATTTAAGGGGCCTGGGGTGGGGGGTCTGAAAATACTTTCTTCACTCTGACTCAGTGCCCAGGACTTCCCCACTCCCAGTCCTTACTCCCTCCCTCCCCATAGCCTCAGGGTCTACAATATTGCTGGGAAGGTGCCCTCCATGGGGAGCCGCTGACCACCAGTGCTGAGCCTCCGACTCTCCATTGCTGCACTGTTCCAACAGGGAAGGTGGAAATGGGGAAGTCAGCATTTCTCTGGTTTGGGCCCCTTGCTTATCCCATGGCTCAGTGTGGTTAAGGGTTTAACTCTTTCACTGTTGAGCTGCTGCTTCACCAGGCTACTCTCACACCCAACAGTTCACCTTTCTCTTCCAACTCAGCTGAGCTCCTGACAATATGACTTAAAAAGAAATGCAGCATCCAAAGCCAAGTGGCTTTTCTCCTCCTAGGTACTCAAGTCAAGAGAAGTCCTGTGTTCCACCTGACTTGCACTCAGCAAGTCCGACCCACACTACTTACGCTGGCATTTGCCTCCATTGGTGGGATCACCATAGAAGCCAGATATGCAGGTCTCGCAGTGCTTGCCCGTGGTCAGGTTCTCACACTTCTCACAGATGCTCTGGTTGATGCACTTGCTGTGGCCATTGCACTGGCAAGCTGAAAGGAAAAGGATTTTAGGAGTCTCTATCATGGCAGAACTGGGTGTAGGGAGTTCCATGAAATTTATTTGCATCTGTAAGTTCCCAATGCCTCTAAAACTCAAATCATCAAACTAGCTGGGCATGGGGGAACATGCCAGCTACTGGGAAGGCTGAGGTAGGAAGATCTCATGAGCCCAGGAGTTTGAGGCCAGCCGGGCAATATAGCAAGACCCCGTCTAAAAATCAAAATAAAACAAGAAAAAAAAATCATCAGAACTGACTCACCGAGGGGCTGGGGAGAAGAGCAGAAGTTCATTGGTTTAGATAAAGGGGAATGAAGGGAAGGGAGAGGGAATAGGAATAGGAAAGACAGTAGAATGAATCAGACATAACTTTCCTATGTTCATATATAAATACAGGACCAGTGAAATTCCACATCATGTACAACTACAAGAATGAGGTCCTAATTAGAATAAGTTATACTCCATGTATGTATAATATTCCAAAATATACTCTATTGTCATGTATATCTAGACAAATTTTTTAAACATTTATTTTTTAGTTGTAGTTGGACACAATACCTTTATTTGATTTATTTATATTTGTGTAGTGCTGAGGATCGAACCCAGTGCCTCACACATGCTAGGCAAGCGCTGTTCCTCTGAGCTACAACCCCAGCCCCTAAAAAAGAACAGATTAAAAAAAAAATGAAAAAAATGATCCTACTCTGCTAATCCTTACCAAAGGAAGGAAACTCTGTTAAAGACACACCAGGATGAAGTTAATTCTTATTTCCTATTTTCATGAACAAAATATGTTTAAAGAGGGCCCTTGCTAAAATTAAAATCAAGAAAGACTGATCATCTGTGAGAATTAAGGAGCATGCTAAGAGAGAAAAGAGGAGCAACTAGTGAGTTACAGAAACATTTCTTTAATTCTTTGTTGCTTTGGGGGTTATCCTGTTTAACACAAGCACGAGGGTTGAAAAGTCTGGAATCTCTACATAAACAAAACATGACAATCGTGCTGAGGTCTCCAAGTCTTTCCTCAGGGAGTGGACCCCGAGAGAGTTCACTGGAATCTCTTGGGCTCAGTGGGCTCTGTTTGCTCTGAAGCCAAATGAAGTCTGAGAGGAAGAGCTGTTGGAAAAGGTGTAGGAAGGTTCATGAAGATCTGTTAGTTGAACCCGAGAGCTTGTGAGCTAATGCAGATCTAGAAAGGCAGAATCTTAGTGAGCAGGTCCAATGCTTTATTTAAATGCCAGGATGCTGGTTACCAAAAGCTGAGAACACTATCAGCTGAAAAGGTCTGAGGCTATCACACTCTTCACAGAAAAGTGGTGAAATCAGTGGTTCTCAAAGTCTAGCTCCAGGACCAGCAGCCTCCGTATCAGCACCCCTGGGAGCTTAGTAGACATGGAAATTCTTTGGCCTGTCCGACTCACTGAGTCAGAGTTCTGAGTCTGGAACCTTCGGATTCTTTTGCCCTCTAATGTGTGAAAGCCTCAAGGATAAATGAGTGGAATATAGTTCAATTTAAAAAAAAAAATCTGACTCACTAGAAACTAATTTGAAAAATAAGATCAAACCATCAAAAACAAATGTACAACTGTAATGCACCAATAAAAAAAGTGAAAAGAAACAAACATTAGTCCAGAAAAATTAGAAATATTATCACAGTGAGGTAAAAATCCATAGCAATATAAAAATAAGTTTTGTTGTTATCCATTGTAAAAACATAATATATGTTCATGATAGTAGATTTTCAAAAATACAGGGATGGAGAAAGATCATATACTATCCCACCACTTAAGAAATGTGTTCACATTTAGTTTCTTTCCTCCCAGTGTGTTCTTCTTTTTCTTCTCTATATTTTTATTACAATTATTAGTGCATATTAATTATACAACACACTGGTTTTGTTGTGATAATGCCACACATGCATACAATGAATAGACTTCATTTATATCCCTCTTCCCCCTTTCTTTCTATTTCCCTTCCCTCTTCCTGGTCCCCTTCTACCCTATGTGAGAAATAGGAAGTCTGGTGGTCCATTTTCAGAATCCAGTATTTAGACTTAATGTAAAACTGGGAAGACACAATAGCACCATAGCCAATGGAAACCAATTATCTTTTCTGAGCTCCCCAAACTATATCCAATCACAGCCATTTTGAGCTCCCAACCTGTGTCCACCCCAATTTTAAAATTAGCCCTTCACGGATAGCATCTTCAACAAATGGTGTTGGGAAAACTGGAAATCCATATGCAACAAAATGAAACTGAATCCCCTTCTCTCGCCATGCACAAAAGTTAACTCAAAATGGATCAAGGA